AGCTCCTCGCTCGCTGATGGCACTTGGGTTCTTCGGATGTCACTTTGCAGCTGAGTTCGCTTATTTTGTGTGAATTAGGTGTTTCTTCGATGTGCCAACCTAGTCTATTTTCATCAAGAATGTAACTAATATCCTACAAATTGTTGTGTTCTGGGTCTTCATGAGCTCCAACGTCAACATATTGGACAACGAACAATGGGTCTGAACCATTTGTTTGACCTCAATTTGACCTACATTCTCGCGGAAATATAAACTATCCGTACACTAGGATATTCGGGTGCTAACAGGCTGTAGAGTGTCAGGAGTTCCATTATTACCTTTGGACGCAACTAGTTTATTTTGACGGCGCTGCATGGCAGCCTTTGCAGTCACTAACTATAACTCGACGAACGTTGAGCGCGAACGGAATGCGTTTTCCTAAGGAAGGAATTTACTTGCCGAACTCTATATCAAATTTGAATAACAGAGTACATTGGTTTTTAACGGTCGATTCCCTCAATCGGGTGTAACCGATAAGTTTATGTACCAGGCCACAAAGGTCCAACAATTACTGCCTAAGCATGTGTAGATTTCAGTGGTTTGGTACATTATAAGCTCAGAAGCTCGGTCCTAACTGCATTCAGGTCTTACCTGGCAGTATCTGCGCACTTACCTTCCAATACGTTTCCAGGTTGCACCAGGTTGGAAATTAGAAATAAAGGTTCGGAGGTTGGTTATAAGCTGTTGTAGGTCCTTTTCAACCCCGCTAAATAATCTTCCAGTCTATTGTTATATTGCGCGTAAAAGAAAATACGTCCGTCACCCTAACGGAGCACGGCAACGTCGTGCCGGTGGCTGTTTTGCTTCCCAATTGCTCGTTTCATCTAGAGAAAAGTACCTATATTTTACCCCTTTTACCACGAGCGTTTTGAAACTAATCTCCTAAGACAAATTTCAAGAAGAAAAGAGAAGGAAGTGACGAGAAACTTGAAGACTTAATATTTGTAAAATTAATCATGAACGGTTAGCAAGCTGAAGTATATCAGAGTAGATTTTAGAAACATAATTTGGGTAGAAGGCAAGCTGTGTGGGAACTAAAAGCCTGCGCAACTGTCACTAATTACACCAAGTAGAGAGCAAGAACAAACCAAGCTGTCATTGTGTCTCTGAGAGTCAAGCATTGAAACTTAGCCACAAAAGACAACTGAGATTTCATTATCTCAAATTATCAGCAAAATACAGTCGGTTAAAGTGTCGAAAAGCTCCTACTCGCTGCGTGTATGCCGCACGGGTAATATCCTCACCGAAGCCCTTAGTTCAGCGCCTACTTTAGCTATGTTCAGAGCACTTGTTGACTGCGCGCCAACCGTACTTCACCGTAGCATGTAGTCCAAACGACCACTACCAACAGTAGAAAAACACAAACTTGACAACCTATTTCCAGTCTTGTCCAGATTCATGGACGATAACTTTGGATAGTACATAAAACGGGCGGGAACGCTGTAATCCGCAAGTTCGCAATTCGCAGTTGTTCAATATTTTCAAAAACCATTTTGCCCATACTTTGCTTAACCATAACCGATCATCCGGCGGGGCACGTCAAGCTTCAGCTTTTCACCCACAATATACCATTGACCGTTGACCAACATAATACATTTATATGAAATCAATGGCGACGTACCTACAATATGCCTTCCGATTCGACTTTTAGGGTTCTGTTGTAATCCGTGCACTACTTTATAAGCATTTCCATCGCAAATCTCTTTGGCTGTCTGCTGTCTTCCGGCCCTTCCCAAATAGTGGCGAATATCTCTCCAGCACCTGGCTCTAGCATTTTACAAATTTGAATGGTCCATAATTAACGGTTTTGGGGCTTGATTCCAAAAGGCGCACGGTTCGCCCAAATTAATAGGATTACAATTAAAAGCGACCACCTGCCTTCCTCCCTATAGAATGCATTAGGATGAAGAATGGATGCTAGTGGAATGAGTGTAATCATCTTAGCAATCAGTGTCACGCCATAAGATGCTTTATTTGTGACAATATTCTGTATAAAACTTTCGAGCAAACCAACAATTTTACCTAAGCAGCAGTAATCCATCTAAACACTAAATCTATTTGTGATGGCGAATAGTTGTCACGTCATTATTCCACGTCTTGGACATTACTAGTTTTCTTAGCCACCTTGTTATGCAAACCAGTTGAGCTAATTTTGATCGTCGCTTATTTGCCCGGACGCACTTGCTCATGCCTTTGTTGCTGTGTCTCGCGTATCACCGAAACTATATCATTATATTTTTCTAGACGGCATGCAATACAACAGGTAATAGTAAACTACTTTAGGCTGATTGGACGGGGTGTAGCGCTATCAATACAGAATCCACTTGGCTTAGGGTGGATAAATGTAGAGTGCTATGCTTAGGAAATCAGTTGATTTGCTCCTACGAACTTGACCAACAAAGGCCTTAAAAGTGTTTCATTGAAAAGGGGATGTTTCGGTCCGGACCGAATTAAGATGTTCGGATCAGGATGAAAATGTGTCAAGCTGGGTCGTCCAAAATGTAGACATTTGAGGCGGGCATGCACAGAGTTCGGCAAGCCAATATTTCAGGAGCTTTACCGCTGCTAAATGCATCTGCATGTCCAATAATAAATGCAGGGTTGGCAGCTACGTTTGAGGAGAGACCACACCGTTTTATCTAGTTAAGAAAGATCCCAAGGCTGAACAGCCAAGAATAATAAAGAATGGCATAATTTGCCGTATAAGCGAGGGCTTCAGGTGGTTGGGAGCTTCTGCAATGAATATCGGCGATTGCGCAATTATACTGATTTGACCTACCAGCTCTTGAGAGCCCCCAACCAAAAGTGCCGCTATTTGCTAGAGCTCGTAGACAATAGTAAACATGGTGCAGACTAGATAAAGATTTCATAACCATGCAGTAGTTTTGAATTTCACCGAAATTTCACCTCATTATGAGTTTGCGAACCTTGGAATGCACTACAAGTATTTGTTCTCATTGCTCCCAAACTGGTGGCGTTCAACTCCCGACTGGATCGTGCACTTACTTCGTTTCAACGTTACACGTGACTAATTGCCCATGCCTAAACACGAGTGGTTGTTAGAACTTTTACTGTCGGTTAATGCCCAGAATACGTTCTAACGTTTACAACTTCATTATGAATGCACGATGCGGCTGCACGTGGTTCACTAACGTCCCAATGTCCTCATTCCTTAAGTATTCCTCGGTAAATCTAAAGGTGTGAACACATTTTTTGACAGTTTTCCTTTTTTCACCTTTCCTTTTTTCACCATGACCACCGGAGGGGACCTGCTAAGCTTTAAAGTTTCCCCCGTATAAAAGCACTCTTCATCATATCATACATTTGGCCTGCTTTCTATGATACAGGAAGGATGGGCAAATTCAGTGCCACAGCATTTTACGTTTGTAAGAAAGCACCTGGCAGTAAATAGCAACGTACTACACAGGCGGTACGTTTGACATGGCTGCAGTACTTCACAGCCACCTTCCATTCCGTAGAAACGACACATTAAATAACACTTCAGTGCGGATGTCTGATATAAGGAGTGCTAATTGAAGCGTTGCATGTTTGTGCGTTGTGCCTTATGGCTTTTAGTTAATGCGCAAGTACCGTATAATGATAACAGCAGGAGATTAAGAACAGGAAATGTCGGTAGTGGAATGGATATCTGTAGACGACACTGAGGATTATTTATTCAATAAAAATAAGCGGGCCCTGTTTAGGATAGTATGCTGATTTTGTGTGACAATGCGCATCAAACAGCAAATTGTGCTGTTTAGATAGCAGCCAAACCAGCAGCGTTGTCGCCAGCATACGATGGGTCTTGTGTGAAATTGTGAGGTGAATTAATTAAGATTCATATACCAGACCACCCAGTGTCTCTACTTAAGTTCGACAAGTGCGAAAGCTATCATCCATATATAGTACATGCTTAAACTGCTGACTGCTATCATGTAGGTTTAAAATATAAATCCTTATGCCGCTGTTGTCCCAACAGTAATGTGGGATATGCACCGGTGTTATCAGGGAACCTACGGTTAAGGGGTTTGAGCGGCAACTTGACGCTCTTGGGTGACAACACGAAACCTTTCCATTTTCCTGACTAACTCGCATCTTCGACCTACGATTTTCTTTTCTCGACTTTTCTTCACGCATTGGTATTATTTGCTTATTTAAGTGCACTTCCCTATTCTGTACCATCGATTTCTCTTCCTATCCTTTGCTTACTTCACGTGACTGCAACAGCAGGGACTGCTAGGGCAGGAAACGTGGGCATTAACTGGTTGGCCAGGGTGCGATACAGGTGTTTCCGTTTTAGATCCATCAATAACTGAGCACTTCATCAATTCCTGTCTCAACGATCCACACAAGATGGAACACTCACGGGATTCTCCTATCGTTCCAGTCCCCATCTGAACTGAACTAAAAACAATGAAGACAAACCAAACTATCTCAAAGATTTTAACTAGAATCCCAGAAAGTGGAATACCTTGTCTACACAATGTTTATCTACTTACCTTTATAAGGGGAGGTAGGTTAATATTCATTGATCCACGTTAAAAGTTGTTAAACAAAGCAGCAGGCACTTTGAAAGCATAGATACTCGCAAGCTGAACTGAACAGCAAATTTGTGCTCACAGAGGAGTCGAAAGTGGTACGCCTTCGAACAGTTCGTGATACAGTTTTGGGCATTTTAACATTGTGTGAGTGCAAAACAATATAGAAAATATAAAAATAATGATCGTTGCAGTATAACAGTTGAATAGCGGCATGCAACTACACAGACGGGATTGTGTTTAAACTGATATGCATGTTGTGTTGCTTATGTACTACAAACAAAGAAGTACATAGTGTTATTAATAAGGTGTGGTGTTGCAGATAATATGAGCACACTTAATGAAGCCACCAAACTTTGGCCAAAGCGTTATCAACCCGAGCTGCGGTTAGCGTATCAGAAACCAGCCAACTAACATTATCGCTTTCCTCCCTGTGAGCACAATGGTGTGCGGCTAAATGTAAAATTTGTTATTTGAACGTTCAATAAAGATCACAGCCTCCCAACAAAAAATTACGGTTGAATGGCACACATTCATGTTGGAAAATAGTGAACCTGTTCACGTATTCTGCAGTATTTGCAATTGTATGATAAATGCTTGTAGGGATTAAATTGTCAATCCTCCGAAGTTACTGTAAATGAAGACCAATATAGTAGTGAATTCGAACAGCTCAATGTAAATTTTGGTCAAAATTCAACACCTTCTACCGCTTTTTCGCTGAGACGGAATACCAATTTTTCTGGATCCTCTACGAAATGTAAGCACTATCTGTTTATGTTATACATATTTCATCTATGTTCCTTGAACGCCAGCTTTGATAAAGAACTATGTACTTAGACTATTGTTCAATACTTGTTGGCAAAGTGCGCAACTAGTTTAATAACTACCAACAGCACGAGTGACCGGTTTGTATACTCTAGAGTTGCCCTTGGTGTACCTTAAATAACTATTGTAAAGCCGAACTTAGCTCTCAGTAGGGACAATTACCAGTACTACCAACCACGCCTACTGAGTATACAGAAGTGAAAATTTGCCGTACACAACCTGTATTGTACTAGCTACAAGGAACTGGAAGTCAATTAGCGAAGCATGAAGTGATGAACCGCACTTTTCACATGTAACTCGAATGTGAACCGGATTTGCTGTCAGTAATACAGATGGACAATCGAAAAATACAAATAAGTATAAAACCGAACGTCAAAAAATACTGAAAACGTAAATTTGACATGTTCACTACAAGGGTGTAGTCTTAGAAGCCTGAATGAGGGAAGTCTTCGATAGGGATGTCAGGTGGAGTAATAAAGTGAAGAATGGGAGTTGAGTACAAGTAGGTACCGCATGCATGTACAAGACAGAATTTAGGGACGAAACAAGCTTCCGCTTAACGAGTGTCCCGTTTCGTGTGCCAGTAAGCGAAACAGAGCCCACAGCACTGTGACTTGATAGAATATTCTTGATTCCGTCAAAATACGATAAGTGAGAATCAGGTCCCTTCTTATCCTTCGATAGTGCATGTAGAAAGGGAGCTCATGAAGTCCGCTGGATTCGACATTCTTTGTTGTTTTATTATTTATTAGTTGGGTGTGGACTTGAGTCGCCACCAGTAAAACAAATGGAGGATCGGTAGATACAAACAAGTGTAAAATCCAATCTCACAAATTACTGAAAGCGAATATGTTTCATGTTAGCTACATTTGTTTGCTTCAGCGGGAGCTCGGATATCAATCCCAAACCGCAGCTCGATGTACAGAGGAGCTTTATCTCTGTACAGTAAAAAATTGTTTGTTGTCTACGCAATGAAAACCGACACCGTCGACACTGTCAATTAGGAAGAAAGAAAAGGTTCAGCACAAAAGAGCGAGCGCGCGTTGTAACCAAAGCGAGCGTCAGGCAAAAGCTGTGCTCAAAGCAAGCAAGCAAGCACAACATGTAGTCCAACAATCTATGCCAATCACTTAAATGTACAAAATGTAATTATTTTAGTTGGAATTTTAAACAGGCAGTCCTGGGGAATCTCCATATTGTAACAGTATCCATAGAAGTCCCAGTGAGACGCATTTTGAACGAATTTCTTATACAGCAAACTTATTATCTTAGCCTTTTCGTATGCTGTAAACACAACTATCCTGGCCGCAAATATTCTCACAACTAGCAACTTTGTTACAAGGCTGAGCTTGACCCGGAATGTTTGCTATTTTGTAAGTCTCGGTGGTGAGCTTAAAGGATTGTTGCCTGCATTTTTTAAGCGAGAGACAACCAAAGCTACTTTTGTTATTATAAAGTGACCTATGGTTGTGGGACCATCTGAAGATTTACACTATGGTGAACTACGATCTAGTCATTAACAACATTATTTTCATACTACTTGAATGTACGTCGTTTTGACATTTGTCCGATTGTACTATCTTGGTAGTTCGGTACTGACGCATTCTAGTGAATGGTTTGATTGCAGTATCCTAGGATACTGCCTGGCCAGTGTTTATCCCATCCACTTATCGTCTTTAAGTTAGCAGGTATGGTGGTAACGCTTTTAGGTTGCAGAGTTTCTGGATTAATAACCCACCATTCTTGGATGCCAAAAGGGATTAAAAACGTGTGTTCCCATAAATGTATTTTGGGACTCCCAGATGTTGTACACGAAGTGGTCTAAAGGCAGCCGGCGATTCAAAAAGAATGTTGGTCAATGTTGAAGTGTATGAGGTGTTTGAAAGGATAGTCGATACAGCTAGTGATGTTATTAGCTGACCGGAAGGTTGTGTAGTAAAGTGTAAAAGGTACACTACATAGCTCTCCACCAGTGCGCTAGTCGCACGATGTTCAAGCGACCAGGAGTAAGAAACCCGGTGGGAATAGCCGGTGAGAATCAGTAGATTGTTGTTTACAAGGTTTTTAAATGTACGCTGGTTTAATACGATCTACGGAAACCGCATCGACTTTACCATTCTTGTTGATCATATGATGTTTTTCGGTTCTAGCGATCACTTCAAATGGTCCTTCGTACGGTGGTTGTAATGGCTTGCGGACTGCATCATTACCTACCCACACGTGGGAAGAAGTTTCGAGATCTTTCGGTATGTAACACGTGTTGGTGTATGCGCGTGTGGGAATAAAGTGAAGTTCACGCATAGATGAATGTAGTCGGTGGACAAAGCTTGAGGGATCTATAGCGTCGATGTCGGTCAGTTGAACGAGATCAGCCGGGAGCTTTAACATGGTACCATATACCAGCTCCGCGGTGGAACAACCTAAATCAGATTTAGGTGTCGTTTGAAGACCTAATAAAACCAGCGGTAAGGTTTCTGTCCAACGGATAGTATTGGAATATGCCATCAAAGCTGTTTTGAGATGACAGTGGAAACGTTCCACTAACCCGTTCGATGCTGGGTGGTACGCAGTTGTTCTTATACGCTTGATTCCGAGAGTATTAATTAATTCTCGAAAAAGCGTCGACTCAAATTGCGCACCGCGAACAGTTGTTATGGTGGATGGTACACCATAATGCGCGATCCAGTGAGCCACAAAGTTATGTGCTACCGTCCCTGCAGAAATGTCTGCGGTGGGTACTGCCACGGGCCAATGAGTGAAGCGATCGATGCAAGTCAGTAGGTATTTGCATCCACTCGACGGTGGCAGTGGACCAACGGTGTCTATGTGCACATGACTGAAACGAGCATCGGGAACGGTGAAGTTGTCAAGTGGTGCCTGAGTATGCCGTTGCATTTTTGAACGTTGACATGGGAGACAATTTCTCACCATGATCTGCACGTCTTTATTTAGTGCTGGCCAAACAAAGCGATCAGAAATAAGCTTGCAAGTTGTACGGATGCCTGGATGTAATAGATCGTGGATTGAATCAAGGATGATTCCTCGATAGTTTGGTGGTACGACATGTCATGGTTTTCCTGTCGAAAGATCACACATCAGAACATCCGAACTACCAGGCAGCGGAATGGCTTCCACTTGAAGCTTGGTTTCTTACAGTTGTTGAAGCCACCGATTATCCTGATGCTGTGCTGTGGCTAGTTCTCGGAAGTCTATGGAGGAATGATCGAATAGAGCGTTGATTTCCGCCCTTGATAAGGCATCTGCTACGGCGTTATTCGCGCCGGACAAATGCCGTATGTCAGAGGTAACTTGGGAAATGTAATCTAATTGTCTACTTACTCGTGGGGAAAGACGATCAGAAGCAGAACGCAGTGCATATTTTAACGGCTTATGATCGGTGAATATCGTGAACGTACGTCCTTCCAAATAATGTCGGAAATGACGCACATTGAGGTAAATAGCTAAGAGTTCTCTCCTGAACGTGCTATAACGTCGTTCGGCAGGCTGCACTTTCTTAGAGAAAAAGGCAATTGGATACAATTCATCTCTCTGTCTTTGTTGAAGCACACCACCTACAGCTGCGTCTGAGATATTCACCGTTAACTGTAACGGGGCCTTAGGATCCAGATGGACAAAAAAAGTGGCAGTCGCTAGCTGGTGTTTTAGCTCGCTGAATGGTTGTTTAGCTGATTCCGTAAAGCTGCATGTTTTAGCATCCAATTTGAGTAATTTGGTAAGTGGCTGGGCTAACTCTGAACATTGTGGAATGAATCTTCGGTAGAAGTTAACCATGCCAACGAACCGGCGTAACTTTTGATGGAATCATGTATGGGATACTCAGTGATGGCTGTCACTCTGTCCGGTAGGGGTGCAATTCCAGCGAAGGAAGCACGGTGACTAAGCAAGTCTACCATATCAACTCTTAACTGACTCTTGGCGGCGTTGATAACTACCCCATAATGCGAAAATCGTTCAAAAAAGCTGTCGCAGATGAGGCAAATGTTTGTCATGATTTCGACTTGCAACTAAGACATCGTCGATGTAGATGAAAACAAAGTCCAGCTCGAGAACGACCTGATCCATAAAACGCTGAAACGTCTGAGCTGCATTACGAAAACCAAATTGCATTCGCAAGAACTCAAACAAGCTAAAGGGAGTAGTGACGACAGTCTTAGGTACATCTTGAGGATGAACGGGAATTTGGTGGTATGCCCTTACTAAATCTATCTTGCTGAACACTTTCTTTCCGTACAGCGAGGATGAGAAATCTGGAGATGCGGAATGGGGTATCTGTCTGGGACGGTGATGGCATTCAGTCCCCTATAATCCCCACATGGTCTCCAGTCTCCGGGTTTATTCTTCGGAACCATATGTGGAGGCGATACCCACATACTGCTGGATGGACGTAGTATGCCCAGTTGTAACATATGATCAAACTCGGCTTTCGCTACGGAAAGTTTATCTGACGCTAGTCGCCGAGGACGATGAAATACTGGACTGCCTGCTGTCATTATCCTGTGAACAATCTCATGTTTGATATCACCAGGACGATGTCCGGGCTTCGTTATGCTGGCAAGTTTGCGCACCAGATCCAAATACATCGAAGAAGCTTGAGGCGGGACAAACTGCGGACTCATAGATATTACGGAACTTTTAAAACCAGCTTGTGATAGTTTTGTTAGGCCATCTATGATCTGACAGCACTTAGGATTTACGATAATGCCATGGTGCTGAAAGAAGTCGAGGTCTAGTATTGCAGTAGGCACTTTAGCTATGATGAAAATCCAAGGAACGGATCTACGGAGACCGAGACTTAGAGTGATAAAACGTTCTCTATAGGATCAGATTTATATACCATTTACTGCTTGGAGGCTGTATACCGAGCAGTGTTTCAGTTCTTATGGAGGTAGTGGAACTACACTGACTTAGGCA